TATTCTAATTAACACTTCTCCGCCTATATCAATCGTTTATCATGGCGGACCTCTGGTATCTGACCAACCAGTGTGTCTGGGGATAACCAGAGGTTAACTGTGATCCATAAAATGGAATGACCGGCTGAGACCACCCGGTGGGCCGCAGGCTGGTGGAAGGTGAGGTGGTCTCTGCCATCCTGGTTAATCATCTCCACGTTTCTTTCTTTTATGTTTTACATTCATCCAGCTCTGACTGACCACCGCTAACCTCAGCAGGTGTTATGTCGCATTTAGTAACCTCTATAAACGCCTTCAAACTGGCGCCTTTTGGTCCAGTTCCCCGAGAACCTTTGAGCATCGCCCGATCCCAGAACCGTCCTCTGAGGGTTAGCTTAGCAACATCTGCTGCTACCTGCTGAGCCACCGGAGCCCTGAATCTCCCGGGCGACGGGCGGGAAAACCGCAGTTCTCTGGCCGAACTCTGAGCTCTCATCGACCAGGACCAGCGTTAGCTTGTTGGGGCTAGCCCGGACAGATACTCACACACTCGGACTCTACGTCGCTCTTGGCCTCGGACCGGCTAACTGTCACTTCGGCCGGGTCGGGTTCGCGGCCTCGGGCCTTTGTCGCAGGAGAACCGGACCTCCCGCTGTCCGAACCCGAGCCGGACTCGTCATCGTCCTCGCTGTCCTGAGACGCGCGCCTCCTCCTCCGCCGCCGGTCCGCCATCTTAGAACTGGAATGGATGGAAGCGGAAGAACAGAGGCATTATGGGTAATGAAGTTCCATTTGATTCCATATGAAACAGGAATTAAGATTATTGATATCTACTGCCACCTCGTGGAACAAATGATACAGCTACTGTATTTATTACTTTTATATAGAAAAAATCTGCCTTTTTACACAAACACACAAAAATAAAAATAATTAGACCCAATTTCCAACAGTGGAAGTTTTATCATCGTGAAGTGGGAGGCAGATCTTTTAGTAATCAGGTGGCTGCTAGACTTCCTCACAAACATATAGACATAATAGGAGCAGACACTATGAGGTTCCGTCTGTATAAAAAATA